CGAGGTTGCGTATTGGCCATACTCGCTTAACCCATGGTCACTTGATGGAGCGCCACCCTGCTCCTTATTGTCCTAGTTGCATTGTCCCTCTTACGGTCGTGCATGTCCTTGAATGTCCTGACTTCCAGGACGAGCGTGTGTCTTGCTTTCCGACCGCCCCTCACGGTCACCTGTCCCTCGATAGAATTCTTGGTGACTCGGATACTTTTGATATCGTTCGCCTTATGCGTTTTTGTTCTCGTATTGGCATCCTTGGTGATATTTAGCGCTCTCTGATTATTTTGCGTATTTGATGGTGCTACATAGCCTTCCCGGTTTGGTGCCTTCTTTTGATAATTACTTACTTCACGATTTTCTGGATGAGCTAGCTACAAGTTCATCGAACATCCCTACGTCACAGGACGGCTAGCCATACATGGAATCGGGAGAAAACATGAAATGTAAGGCTGATCTATTAGCCTCCAATAGCAAAAACTGGGTACAGCACAAGTTTGTTTAGTTCATTTATTATGCACCCCATACCCATCCTGTGGGCGGTTGGAAACTGTTAGAGGCACATAATGGGCTCGGGGACTGAACCCCTCAATTCATTTAGCCAAGTAACAATCTTGATCAGCTAGTTACAAAACTCAATACACATCGTCACGTCATCATTGGACTCGAGATCAACCATAAGTACAGTTTCTAAATTAAGCAACTGACATATGAAGAGAGCTAGTGTCACAGTTGATAATACTCCTCAAATTATGCTATAATGTACCTGTGGATATTTTTGGTATAAAAAGTCGTAATTTGAAAATAAAAATAGGTGCAGAGTGTCAGAATTCGGCTCAAAAATTACGCTCAGGAGTCAAATTTCCGGCATTTCAGATATTTTGAAAACTGCAGGGGGGTTTGGGCAAAATATGACCCATCGCCGTTTTCAGTAATTGGCATATTTTCCGTATAAAGAGTAGTAATGTGAAAATGAAAATAGGTGCAGAGAGTCAGAATTTGGCTCAAAAATCTCACTCAGGAGTCAAATTTCCGACATTTCAGATATTCTGAAAACTGCAGGAGGGTTTGGGCAAAATATGACCCATTGCCGTTTTCAGTAATTGGCATATTTTCGGTACAAAAATTCCTAATTTGAAAATCAAAATAGGTGCAGAGAGTCAGAATTCGGCTCAAAAATCACACTCAGGAGTCAAATTTCCAACATTTCAGATATTTTGAAAACTGCAGGGGGGGTTTGGGCAAAATATGACCCATCGCCATTTTCCGTAATTGGCATAATTTCGATGAAAAAATTAGTAATTTGAAAATGAAAATAGGTGCAGAGAGTCAAAATTTGACTCAAAAATCACTCACAGGAGTCAAATTTCCGACATTTCAGATATTTTGAAAACTGCAGGGCGGGTTTGGGCAAAATATGACCCATCGCCGTTTTCAGTAATTGGCATATTTTCGGTGTAAAAAGTCGTATATTGAAAATTAAAATAGGTGCAGAGTCAGAATTCGGCTCAAAAATCACGCTCAGGAGTCAAATTTCCGACATTTCAGATATTTTGAAAACTGCAGGGGGGGTTTGGGCAAAATATGACCCTTCACCGTTTTCAGTAATTGGCATATTTTCGGTGTAAAAAGTCGTAATTTGAAAATAAAAACAGGTGCAGAGAGTCAGAATTCGGCTAAAAAATCACACTCAGGAGTCAAATTTCCGACATTTCAGATATTTTGAAAACTGCAGGGGGGTTTGGGCAAAATATGACCCTTTGCCGTTTTCAGTAATTGACATATTTTCGGTGTAAAAAGTCGTAATTTGAAAATGAAAATAGGTGCAGAGAGTCAGAATTCGGCTCAAAAATCACGCTCAGGAGTCAAATTTCCGGCATTTCAGATATTTTGAAAACTGCAGGGGGGTTTGGGCAAAATATGACCCATCGCCGTTTTCAGTAATTGGCATATTTTCGGTATAAAATGTAGTAATTTGAAAATAAAAATAGATGCAGAGAGTCAGAATTCGGCTCAAAAATCACGCTCAGGGGTCAAATTTCGGACATTTACGATATTTTGAAAACTGCAGGGGTGTTTGGGCAAAATATGATCAATCGCTGTTTTCAGTAATTGGCATATTTTCGGTATAAAAATTCGTAATTTGAAAATGAAAATAGGTGCAGAGAGTCAGAATTCGGCTCAAAAATCACACTCAGGAGTCAAATTTCCGACATTTCAGATATTTTGAAAACTGTAGGGGGGTTTGGGCAAAATATGACCCTTCGCCGTTTTCAGTAATTGGCATATTTTCGGTGTAAAAAGTCGTAATTTGAAAATGAAAATAGGTGCAGAGAGTCAGAATTCGACCTCAAAAATCATGATCAGGAGTCAAATTTCCGACATTTCAGATATTTGAAAACTGCAGGGGGGTTTGGGCAAAATATGACCCATCGCTGTTTTCAGTAATTGGCATATTTTCGGTACAAAAATTCGTAATTTGAAAATCAAAATAGGTGCAGAGTGTCAGAATTCGGCTCAAAGATCACGCTCAGGAGTCAAATTTCCGACATTTCAGATATTTTGAAAATTGCAGGGGGGTTTGGGCAAAATATGACCCTTCACCGTTTTCAGAAATTGGCATATTTTCGGTGTATAAAGTCGTAATTTGAAAATGAAACAGGTGCAGAGAGTCAGAATTCGGCTCAAAAATCACACTCAGGACTCAAATTTCCGACATTTCACATATTTTGAAAACTGCAGGGGGGTTTGGGCAAAATATGACCCATCGCCATTTTCCGTAATTGGCATAATTTCGATGAAAAAATTAGTAATTTGAAAATGAAAATAGGTGCAGAGAGTCAGAATTTGGCTCAAAAATCACACTCAGGAGTCAAATTTCCGACATTTCAGACATTTTGAAAACTGCAGGGGGGTTTGGGCAAAATATGACCCATCGCCGTTTTCAGTAATTGGCATATTTTCGGTGTAAAAAGTCGTATATTGAAAATTAAAATAGGTGCAGAGTCAGAATTCGGCTCAAAAATCACGCTCAGGAGTCAAATTTCCGGCATTTCTGATATTTTGAAAACTGCAGGGGGGTTTGGGCAAAATATGACCCATCGCCGTTTTCAGTAATTGGCATATTTTCGGTATAAAATGTAGTAATTTGAAAATAAAAATAGATGCAGAGAGTCAGAATTCGGCTCAAAAATCACGCTCAGGGGTCAAATTTCGGACATTTACGATATTTTGAAAACTGCAGGGGGGTTTGGACAAAATATGATAAATCGCTGTTTTCAGTAATTGGCATATTTTCGGTATAAAAATTCGTAATTTGAAAATGAAAATAGGTGCAGAGAGTCAGAATTCGGCTCAAAAATCACACTCAGGAGTCAAATTTCCGACATTTCAGATATTTTGAAAACTGTAGGGGGGTTTGGGCAAAATATGACCCATCGCCGTTTTCAGTAATTGGCATATTTTCGGTACAAAAATTCGTAATTTGAAAATCAAAATAGGTGCAGAGTGTTAGAATTCGGCTCAAAGATCACGCTCAGGCGTCAAATTTCCGACATTTCAGATATTTTGAAAATTGCAGGGGGGTTTGGGCAAAATATGACCCTTCACCGTTTTCAGAAATTGGCATATTTTCGGTGTATAAAGTCGTAATTTGAAAATGAAAACAGGTGCAGAGAGTTAGAATTCGGCTCAAAAATCACAATCAGGAGTCAAATTTCCGACATTTTACATATTTTGAAAACTGCAGGGGGGTTTGGGCAAAATATGACCCATCGCCATTTTCCGTAATTGGCATAATTTCGATGAAAAAATTTGTAATTTGAAAATGAAAATAGGTGCAGAGAATCAGAATTTGGCTCAAAAATCACACTCAGGAGTCAAATTTCCGACATTCCAGATATTTTGAAAACTGCAGGGGGGTTTGGGCAAAATATGACCCATCGCCGTTTTCAGTAATTGGCATAATTTCGATGAAAAAATTAGTAATTTGAAAATGAAAATAGGTGCAGAGAATCAGAATTTGGCTCAAAAATCACACTCAGGAGTCAAATTTCCGACATTTCAGATATTTTGAAAACTGCAGGGGGGTTTGGGCAAAATATGACCCATCGCCGTTTTCAGTAATTGGCATATTTTCGGTATAAAAATTCGTAATTTGAAAATGAAAATAGGTGCAGAGAGTCAGAATTCGGCTCAAAAATCACACTCAGGAGTCAGATTTCAGATATTTTGAAAATTGCAGGGGGGTTTGGGGCAAAATATGACCCTTCACCGTTTTCAGAAATTGGCATATTTTCGGTGTAAAAAGTCGTAATTTGAAAATGAAAACAGGTGCAGAGAGTCAGAATTCGGCTCAAAAATCACGCTCAGGAGTCAAATTTCCGACATTTCAGATATTTTGAAAACTGCAGGGTGGGTTTGGGCAAAATATGACCCATCGCCGTCAAGAACACTGCTGGCGATCCCATACTGATTGACCTCGCCGAGTTCGTGTTGAAAATATACAGCTTGCCAATCAGTAATGCCCTGGTTGAACGGATATTTTCGAGAGTAACGTCTGTGAAAACTAAACTGAGAAATTTTGAATGGGAATGGGACTTGAGCTTTTGACATCAGTCTTGAGAATCAAAACATATCTTGAAGAAAATGTAACTTGTTCCTCGTCATTTGAACCACTCATGTCAATGCATAAATATGAGTCTGCAATATACAAGTACGAGGTTGGGGATGCAGATCAAGATCTTAGTAATCTTCAACTGTAAAGACGTGGAAGGACTCCACACCCATTAAGCTTCAAACAGTAAATATTGGTAAGTTATCCTATTATCATATTGGTTAAATATGCGGAGATAATGTTAATAAAACAATTAAAATCGTTTAATGTACTCTATATATCATAATAGATTACTTTGAAGCCCGTATCAGTCACTAAACAAAAAATTGGGTTACTCTTATTACAAATTCGCTACTTTTAGCAATTTGAATCTGGCGGTCCGGCCCCAGCGTGGGCCAGTCAACACCAGCCAGGCTCACCACAGGGCTGCTACATGTGTGTGTGCTCTCGCTGCCCCTACCCCCAACAACAACAATAGTCTGGCTCACACTTTACTCTTGAGGCTCCCCAATCATCTGCCCGTCTGTGCGTTTATTTTGCCGTATGGCATATTGGCGTCACTGGCTTAGCGTTTTGGCTTGGTGTTTCAGCTTGGCAGGCTTCGTGATTCACCGTTAACGGGTACACGCCGGGGCGCCTCCCATCCCACCAGCGTCGTCGCCCCTAAGTCAACAACAACACTATTCCAAAATGGTAGATGTAAATCTTAGCGATGCAGAGAAAAGATATATTGTGGATGGAGTAAAGGTAAATAAAATTTTTCATGATGTTTTTGTAACAACAGATTTTGTCAGTGTATGAACACTTATCCAATAGCAAAGGAAAACAAAAAATGCTCTACAAACAATGGTCCAATTCAAAATGATGTTACCAGAAATGTTATCCAAATATCCCCAGCTTGCTAATTATGCATAGTAACCGAGTGATTGTAACCTATTCACCGCTGCCCGCTGGATGGAAAGTGATGTGCAGACTAGCTCTCCACATGTGTCAGTTGCTTAATTTAGAAACTGTACTTGTGGTCGGTCTCGAGCCCATTGTTGATGTGACGATGTGCATTGAATTTTGTGACTAACTCATCAAGATTGTTACTTGCTTAACTAAATGAATTTTGGGATTCAGTCCCTGAGTCCATTATATGCCTCTGTAACCCTTTCCACTACTGCCCACAGGATGGGTATGGGGTGCATAATAAATGTACTAAACTTGCTCCTGAACTGCGGAATGACCTCCCTAATGTGATTAAAAGCTATTTTTTTTTTTTAAGAGTACAGTTTAAAAAAGAAACTAAGAACTAACTTATAAGGGTCCTGGTAGTACAGCCGTGTTCCTTCTTGACGCACAATTGAGAATTCCTGGTTTGAATCCTGGGTGGGACAGAAATGGTTGGACTCATTTCCTTTTACCTAATTGCTCTGTACACCTAGCAGTGAGTAAGCGCTCAGGAGTTAAGTCAGCTTGTTGTGGGGTTGCTTCCTGGGGGGGTGGGGGGAACCTCAATCAAAATAAACCCCTATTCTGGTTAAAACAACTAAAATAGACCAACTAGTGGACAGAACTCCCCAAATGAAAGTGAGCAAACAAGCATGGCGTCACACGAGCCGCACCGCATGTCTGCACAGCTTCCCACTCCCCAAGAGGGGAAAGGGGGAGCCCCAGACCCCCATACCGGCAATTCACCCACCAGTTTTGAGGCTGGATGTCAAAAACATGCAAAAAAAAACGCTGACCAGAGGGAGGGTTGCCGAGGAGCCTACGGGACTCGCCTAGAAAATGGCGTTTCGTTACATTTAACGCTGGTTTTCTGGGGGAAGCCCCCTTCAGCTCCCCGGAGCTACTTCAAAGACGAAAACAGAGGGACTTACCCGGGAGGCGGTCGGTGCTCACATCTCGACTCAAAGTTAAGACAACAGGCTGCAGCCGCTGACCCAAAGCGACACAGGCCCGACTTGGCCCAGGAACATTCATGAGGTAGCGTGCAGCCAAGACCCTATTCAACCACCAAAAACACCGTGCCCAAAGTTGCGGGTTTCAAGAATGCGTTTGTTAACTTTGCTTGTGTTGTAAATGGAGATTTCCTAAAGCAAGGTTTGATGAATTGAGGTGCCACTGCACTTTTTGTTCCCATATACATGTCAGTAAATTTTATATTAACAGTTTAGTTCATTTATTATGCACCCCCCATACCCATCTTGTGAGCAGTAGTGGAAAGAGTTACAGGGGCACATAATGGGGCTCGGGGACTGAACCCCACAATTCATTTAGCTAAGCAAGTTACAGTCTTGATGAACTAGTTTAAAAATTCAATGCACGTCGTCACATTAGCAATAGGCTCGAGACTGACCACAAGTACAGTATGGCATATTTGTACTTTTAATCTACGCTATTCTGATGCTTCAATATGATCAAAACTCTTTTTCAGAGGCTGGGTTTCTATTTTGTATCTGTGCTTTCATATTTTTTATACTCTTTTTCCATTTATCAACAGTTAGGTACTAGAGTGGATGGTCGAAACCACCTTGATTATCGACAGCTTGAAATAGAAACTAGTCTAGTTTCTACAGCTAATGGTTCAGCTCGAATTAGGCTTGACCGTACAGATGTTTTAATTACAATCAAAATGGAAATGGAACCACCACAGCTAGACCAGCCCAGAAATGGACAACTCCATTTTTTTGTAAACTGGTATGATATATGCTTGTCTGCATTATAGATAAAGGATTCTCTATAGAATAACAACATTTTATATTGTTATAAAAAATAACAAGTACTGTATGTTTACTGTACCTAATTTTGATTGACATGTTTTGCTTGACAATGATTTTTTTTACAGGAAGAAATAATATGCTTAATGTTCTAAAATCACTTTATTTCAGTTCTGCTAATGCAGCTCCAGAGTTTGAAGGCAGAGGTGGTGAGGATTTGGCTACAAGTTTGAGTTCCATGTTGGAACGAGTATATTCTTCCCCACACACTTTAGACACTTCGAAGCTTTGTGTTGTCCCAGGCAAGCATGTGAAAGTGCTGTATGTTGATATTGAGGTTAGTAAATACTGTATCTTCATTTTAGACATTTTTTCTGGGGGGGGGGGGGGGAGCCCGGTCGGCCAGCTCCCTGGAGCTATCCAGGCTGATATGGATATATTTAGATTTTTGGCATCAGTCAAAGTGCATAGAGTTTGGGCTACCATGGACCATGAGCCAGAACCTGGCCCCCCTCAGATGAGGCACGAGGAGCAATGGCCTATAGAAACCCCCCCTGTGTTTGGGAGCATTCTATGTCTGCCATCGATCGGGTCTGGCACCCAGAAAGGTAGGCACCCCAAAACAAACCCCTATTCTGGTGAAAATATCCTACTGACGTTATCTTGAGGTTATCTTGAGATGATTTCGGGGCTTTTAGTGTCCCCGCGGCCCGGTCCTCGACCAGGCCTCCACCCCCAGGAAGCAGCCCATGACAGCTGACTAACACCCAGGTACCTATTTTACTGCTCGGTAACAGGAGCATAGGGTGAAAGAAACTCTGCCCATTGTTTCTCGCCGGTGCCTGGGATCGAACCCAGGACTACAGGATCACAAGTCCAGTGTGCTGTCCGCTCGGCCGACCGGCACCGAAAGCCGAATGAGAGGATAGAACTTTCCAAACAAAAATTGGCAAACGAGCATGACCTCATTACGTTGCTGCGCCACTGAATGCGCAACCCACCCCTCTCCGGGATGGGGAAGAGGGAGCCCCAGACCCTCGTGCTGGCAATCCAACCGTCAGTTCTTGACTGATGTGATACTGGTGAAGTCATGTGCCTCTTACTACAGATTTTGTTTCAGTTTCTGTGCCTTGTGGTGTGGACTGTCTCTACTGGTGGTATGTGATCCTGGAGTAATATTCTTTGGTACCCGGGCTACATGCGCCTAGAGGGGGTGCTTCCCCACATACCCTGAGACTGCCCCGTTTTGGTTATAGGGACCCGGGACTTGGGGTGGGAGTCGTTTTGACTTTGGTTCCAGTCACCCCTTCTTGTCCTTCTCCTTTGGTTGTTCATCTGGTCCCTCCCCTTGCTTCCAGCTCCGAAACGTTTGAGGGTTTCAGAGTCGGGGCAGGGTTTAGTTGGTGAACACATCGAGCCCTTGCTCGATGTGTGATGTTTGACAACCCTTGTGAACCCTAGTCTTGGTTTAAACAAAAAAATAGAAAGAGGGAGAGGGTGAGAAAGCAATAAATAGAAAGATAGATAGATATAGATAGCTAGCTAGCAACTAGAATGAAATCCTGTCTGGACTGTACATGTGCTGTACAGTATCCTGTCTATGGCATAAGGAATACAGTACTTGCCTTTGGGAGAAATTGAATCTGATAGTCCACCAATATTTTTGTAAATAATATAAAGGTTTTGATATATCTTTTTCATAAGTTCACTATAAGGATAAAACATAAAGTTCATTGCTTATAAGCAATTAAATTTAGCTCTTGAGGCTGGACAAAGCTGATAATGACATTGGTTATATTACATCATAATTTGAATTTCTGTTACTAATATGATTACTCGTTTAGTACTCAAGAAACATGCTCTACTTTTGTGGAAAGGCATAAAGGTTATACTGTAGTATACATTGATGTAAACACTCATAACCCTTGTCCCTGTAACCCATTATCAGTCATGTTGAGCAGTGGTAACACTCGTCCGGCGCTTCTCAAGCGCTTTGGACTGAGTTCGTATCCTGACCAGTTAGGGTTGATTGGGTGCCAATCCTTAACTGTAGCCTCTGCTCACCCAGCAGCTAATGGGTACCTGGCTGTTAAATGATTTAGAGGTTTGTATTCCTTGGAAAATTAGGATTAAAAACCTGCCTGAAATGCTATGCTTGCTAGTGGCTTTACAAGAATGTAAGATCTCTTATATATATAAATAAATAAATAAATAAATTACATTTAAATGTTTGATTTTTTCTTAGGTCTTAGAATGTGGTGGAAATTTGTTTGATGCTGTTAGTTTGGGAGTGAAGGCAGCGCTCTGGGCCACCAAGATGCCAAGAATTTACATTACAGGAGAAGATGGTGGAGAGTTGGAGTTCTCAATGTCGGATAACCCACATGATGTAGACAGACTGGATGTCTCCAATGCCCCAATTCTTATTACTCATCTGCGGGTAAGTTATACATTAACACTTTCGCTCGGGGATGACGCAGCATTGCGTCATCCGTTTACTGGCGGTAATGCCGGGGATGACGCAGCATTGCGTCATCCACTTTAAAAATTCGCCAAAAATCAGGTTTTTATCCGATTTTTTGGGGACTGGTTTTAAAATGTGCGCCGATGTCTTCCCATTTTCTTTGTTGAGCCTCGTCGCCCTCAGGCTGCTTGGCACACGCCGTGGGCCCATTGTCTTTGCTCCACTGTTGTGACCAATGTCGCTTCCCCTCGCATCTCAAACGTGTGAACATTTCGGCTATTTTCCATGGCTATATTTCTTACTGTGGCTTTAGAAACTATCTACGCTTACTCCACGATGGATAGTAATCATGAACAAGGCCCTTCCAGGAAGAAAATTGCGAAAGAAAGGCTTGAAAAGGGTAGGAATTGGGAGTGTAGCAGGAAGGCCTCTGAGCACTCACTCACGGCTAACACGTGGCCCGTCTTCAACTCGTCGGCGGTTGGAGCGTGACCAGGTTTTTTTTTTATAGGCTAATGTTCCTCTAGAGAATTTTATTACGAACCCATTGAGACCAAAATGAAAGACCTAGGACAAAAATTGAGGTGACCAGAGTGAAAATAGTGAAAACATTTTATCCCGTTTGCGCGCTCCCGGGTAACTCGTTCGCACTTTCTCTGTTTGCTGCGGGTAATTAGCCGGGCTTTTGGAGTTTATATGCATTTAGTGCTGTAGAGAATTTTATTGCGAACACAATGATACCAAATTTAATCTCGTAGAAGGAGAATTGAGGTGACAAAGTTGAAGAGAGTATACACTTTTCGGAATTAACGCGCGCTTCCGTGACACTCTGGGGCCCATATCGCCCTGTCGAGGGGTGGCGCGCGGGGTGAGCGAAAGTGTTAAGCAATTTAAATATGGGCAAAATCATTTACTGAAATATTCAGTAAACTGAAATTTACTGAATTTCAGAAACAGAAAAGTGAACTGTTGATTAGTTGAAATGGTATTGTAATGTATGTGATTTTGGGTGACAACATTTATTATGGTGTTTATGTTTATTCGATATAGTGTTGGTTACAGCAATTGGATGTTAGAAGTGATCTGATAAATTGTGATAGGTTGAGACGAGGATGCTTGTTAAGTGCTGCTGGTGGAGTCAGATAGGACGTAGTGCTGATTGCAGCCTGAGACAGGGAGTTTTGTGTCAGGTCTAGAGCTAAAAGCAGAGAGGTTGAGTGAGGCCAGAGGTAGAGAGCTCAAATGAGGGCAAATGTGTAGAACTCAAATGAGTAAAGGATTGGAGAGCTTGCATGTGGGGTAAAAGGTGGTAGATCAAATAAGGCCGTAATTGGCTGTCTGCTCTATAGCGAGGTTGGTGTATCTTGGTGAAAATAGGAACTCGACTCTACGAGCGTTACAGCATATACTGATGAATGTCACTGGTGTTGGAGAAGATCAGCAGTATATCCAGAGTGTTCACTGAATCACTGTTGGAGTTAGACTGACTATGCTACATTCCTGATTGGCTTATACCCACTCTTCACATGACCTTGTATTGGACTCAGTTTGCTTTTGGCAAGTTGATCATCATTTGGCCTGATGAAAAACTTGCTGGTTACTTTTGGCTTTCCTAACTGATTTATGGAAACCTTGGGGAACCATGTATTGAAATAATAACAGATGTCATTAATGTTTATTGAATATGATTGCATGTGTCATTAGTGGTGATGGTGATAAGTAGCTAGAAGTTTAGAGATAATGTGATTTTATCATTGACCTTTCTTGTACCAGAGATTTTGCTTGCACTTTAAGGCTTATAACTTTACGTCTATATGGAGGCATTTATAACAAACACAACACAGGCGTGACATGCACTTACATAAACACTTGTGTATTTACATGCATGTATTGTATGAACACATAACAAATGTAAAAACAAATGCAATCTGTTAGCTTGTATTATATAGATAGAAAATTTAACAATTCACTGGGCTATTTCTTTTATAGATAACAGAGAATCTGACAGTTGTTGATCCAACTCCTGAAGAAGAATGCTGTGGTCCTGTGCAGATAGTGGTTGGTGTTACCCCAAAAGGCTTAATTACTGCAACTCAACAGTTTGGTTCAGGAACATTTACACCTCAGACACTAAGTGCTTCTATCAAGGTAAGACCTAGCTTTCTGCATTTCTTTATTTTAGGATTTAGTTTTTCATGATATTGATTTCTTGTGAGGGTTACTAGGGGAAAATGATGTTTCTTTGGTTTATTGCCGGTTCCTGCAATAACCTGTAACTGCATGCAACAGTACTAACACTAGCGGTGGCCACACTGCAAGAGGTCACTTTGCAGAAAGTAACCACAACCAAACCAAGAAAACAAAAAAATCAAGAAATAAAGCCAAGTTCATAAATGGCCTCCTAATTGAATTGAACTCAATATTTGGTGAACTTGCAGAAACCCACACGAAAGATTACATGGATAGTGAAATCTGGATCCCAAATTATAATCTATATAGATGTGACAGAATAATTAGGTCAGGTGGAGGAGAAGGTCTGTAATAGAAACTGGCATGCACAGTGCTCCTGAACTTGACCAATGATGTGGTAGAGGTACTTGGAATCAAGGTAGAAAATATAAATCTAATAATTATTCTAATATATAAACTACCAGATGCAACAGTTCAGGAATTCACAGAGCAGATACATAAAATAGAGAATATCCTTAACACTTTGAGCTGCTTGACTTGCTCACCCAAACCCTCCCCTAGATGGGTCTGGCATTTTATGTGAGCGCACACCCACACTAGAATGTGTATACTCTTCAGTTTTCTCATGTTGATTTTCATGTTACATCATTCATTTTGGTATCAAGCTGTTCACATTAGAATTCTCTAAAGGGATATATGCATATAAGGTCAAAAAGCCTGGTGTGTCACCTGCGGCAAACCTGAAAATCAGCCGAGCGTTAGCCGTAAGCGCACAACCACACTAAAATGTGTATACTCTTTTCAGTTTTCTCACGTCAATTTTCGTGTTGCGTCGTTCATTTTGGTATCAAATTGTTCGCATTAGAATTCTCTAAATGAATGTATGCATATAAGGTGAAACAGTCACGCTACCCACAGCAAACCATAAAATGCGCCGAGCGTTACCCATGAGCAAGCACCCATCCGCACACCTGCAACACCTGCACTCAAAATGTGTATACTCTTCAGTTTGATCACCTCAATTTTCATGTTACGTCGTTCATTTTGGGATCAAATTGTTTGCAATTAAATGCTCTAAAGGGATATATGTATATAATGGCAAATGGAAGAACAACATTACCAATACCATAAGATAAAGTATGTCGTCATGTGAAAACCGGCTTTTTGTCATTATTTTACATTTGTTATTCATTCCCGACATTATTTGTAATACAATATCATTCGTTTTTGTGTTGCTTCCTTCACATAAGTGTTTGTATCACAATATCATATGTATAAATAAATGAAAGAAGATGTCTATACTGTACTTAATCAACCAATGATGTTTGTAGAACATGAGTTGAGCATTAGGTTGAACCACTCACCTGCTCCAGGGAAAAGTTTCCTGAAGTTTCTCAACCCATGTTTTATATGTAGAGCGGATGGGGGGTAAGCATTACTGATTATCCACCCAGTATGTCCTCTTGCGGTGGTCCAAGCCAGAGCATTGTGCAGGACGCTCTGTCGCCCCACACGACTTGCACTTATACCTGGTGCCCTTCCTTTTACCAAATTTGTAGCAGACATGACACTTCAGACCTTTCTCGATGCAAATTAGGGAATGGTTCAAATTACTGTTCAGACCTTTGGGGTTATCCACAATACGAGGCTTTCTCCTAGCAGCAGCACCACAGGGAGTAATCAAATCCTCATCGTCTGCATCAGAAGATGAATTTTCATCTCGAGGTGAAGAAGGAATAGTGGCCGCCTCACACCTGATGGTCCGGGTGTTGCAGCATTGTCATCAGTAGATCTGCTCTGATCGTCATGTACATCGCCAGCATGTATGATGAAGTCATTTTGGAGAGACCAATTCTTATACTCAAACATCAGTAGTGACCAAATAATTACTTAACTGGAGCAATGGGAGTTTCTTTGTATCAGTTGTGTAGTACAGTATTTGTATATAACAAAAGCATTATGGATAGCCATTTGCAGAAAGTACCTGTACATGAACGCTGCTACTTGCCCACATTCCTGGGTAGCACAGGAACAAACAGGCAGTCCCCAAGCGGAGCATAAGAAGCACTGCCCAAGAACAAAAGAAAGACATAAAACCCCTCCCACCAATCAAATGTGTGGGTTAGACAGAATCCTTGCCAAACTCGCATGGAAAAGAGATGAGCCAGCTAGGATGAATCAAGAACCTAATACAGGTAGCCATGTTTTCCCTTTCACAAAGTTGACACATTGTGTAATCGACGTTTGGGTTTTGAGAGAGCTGCCAGATACGTCTATATCCCAGACACGTATTCTGGCAACATGACATCACATTGCCGAGTTCTTGCTCTATTAGCCTCATATGTGAGTGTCTCCTCACGATATCTTTCACATATGGGACTAATAGAGCAAAAACTCAGCAATGTGATATCATAGTTGTCAGAATACGCCTGGGATATAGACGTATCTGGTAGCTCTCTCAAAACCCAAATGTCGAGTACACAATGTGTCAACTTTGTGAAAGAAAACATGCACTCACTTGAACATTATATTGTAGAATGTCCCATATTAACTGACTTTCGCCCTCCTGGGCTGAGGTATGCTAAACTCTGTAACTACTATATGAGTACTGGAACACTTGATGATATATTGGACTTGTACCCTAGATTAACCATGTAATATAACTATATAACTTGAGCTTGTAAAAGCATCTTAATCGCTTTCAGTGGTTAAGTTCTTAATTGCACACTAGTTTCTCTGTCAGCTTTCTCACCCTGTCAGAGTAAAAGAGACAAATATGTGTGTGTATGTGTATAAAGTATATGTGGAAGCTGATCAGAATTACATTTCACCATTATAAATTCACATTAATGCATTCATAAATCTGTGTATCTATGTATTTACGTATGTAGCTTAGCCTAACATTTTAAAAGCACTACGATTACCTTCTGTGGTTGTTCGATAAATCTCTGAACTGTATGTTTGACAAATCTCTCACCCTGTCCATGGAGGACAGAAGAATATGTATATGTGCTAGTTAGTATTGTAAATGTGTGGCCACGTCTGTGGAAGAAAATAATAATAATAAAAAAAAAAAAGGTAGCCAATGAGCCAAGACAGATCTGTACTCAAGAGGAGATCTATCAATGCAAAGAGGTCCAAATTCTGCAGGAGGTACTAAAACAAATCTAAGCGAATCACTGAATGGGAATGCATGGAGACAGAATCCTTCAGAAATACGACAATTCCAAGGCATCGATTGGGACCCAGAACCAAACCTAAGTAGGAACAGGCAAGTGATCATACTGTACTTGTACATAGGAAAAGGATATGAAAAGTTATCCTCGTGAAGCAAAACACCCTCTGAAGAGGAAACCAAAGTCCAGGAAGGGTTGAAGGGCACTGATGGACATTCCTTGGGCTCCCCTCCAGCCCCAGAAGCCTGCCCCAAAGGTTCCAGAGTAGAGTCGTAATCCTCACCCAATACATGGGACAGAAAGGTGTTCTCCAATGGATAAGGTTTGGACCAAAAGGGGGTGAGGACTTTGTTATGAAGACTACCTCTACTATCAACATGGAAGGGGGTTACCCCCTGGAAATAGCAAAGCTAAACCCTGCCCCCATTCTGTTACTGTTGGATGCCTCGAGCTGGAACCAGGGGACAAAATACCAGAAGTAGGGCAAACCACACCCACAGGGAGAGAAAGAGTAGGTGTGGGTTTAGTCTAGGTGGAGATTTCCGACACCTTAAATTTTGGATCCCTTAAACACCATAGGGACAACTACTGAGCATCCAACCGATCACAATGCTGTGAACATCTAACTCTGGCAGATTTACCTATTAACACTTTCGCGCTCTCGGCGCTCAAAAAAAATCAATACCCCAGATGCTTTCGGCACTTCGCGCGCCTACGCGGTAAGACCGAAAAAGTGTACACTCTTTTGACTGTCCTGACAATAATTGAAGGCGCACATATTTAAATTTGGTATCACTGTGTTCGCAATGAAATTGTCTATAAGAGCATACCTATAAAATGCCGCCCAAGCATAAGGAGTATCAACACCAAATAAAAAACTATGCAGATCACTCGCCGAGAGCGCCAAACAGCAACAAAATGTTTCCACTTTCTTAATGGTTGCGAAGCCTACAGTTGTCCTACATCACTAATTTTTGTATCATTGGAATCGCAATAAAATTCTCTACACGGACATATGCATATGAATGTTTAATATAGGTAATTGCCCACCCGCAAGAGTGTGTGAAGTGGAGAGTAGTTAGCCGCGAGCGCACTGGCGAAAACACGGGGGAAATCATGCTTGGAAAGTTTATACATTTATACGTTTCCTGACCCTACTTTTCTATGTACAGTACGTATTTCTTTTTTATACCAATGTGTTCGCAATAAAATTTTCTATAAGATGAAATGTATAACATTTGTACAAAGCATGTGTAAGAGAAGCGCCAAATATAGAACCACGTCGCTCAGTATGCGTTCGCGGCAGAAACGAACGCATTGTTTTCGTTCGTTTGATGTTTGTCATGTTTATACTTGTTGAAACATTTTATAATTTGTATGACAGTGATCGCAGTAAAATTCCCTACACAGACATATACATAACACATACAAATATTTCCCACGTGTTGGATATATCAACGGCTAAAGGGAACCCACTACCATACGGCCGCCACACCCAGAGCCACACCCGCCACACCCCCAAACATATTTTGTGTTTTGTTTTGTTTTTACTCATAGAAGCTTATGTGATATAATATTCATTCTGGTACCAAAAAATTCGCAAATAAATTCTCTACAAAACGTATATAATATAACTTCTTATAGATGATAAAAAATTCCAAATAGGTGTACTTACCCTGTCTATGTTGATTGAAGATCAACAGTTGAGCATTTTTTCTTCACTCCACCATCTTCAGGCTTCTGATCCTGAAGTTGCTCATCTGATGTTTCTTAGGTGGAGTGAAGCTGTTGCCAGTGGTTATTTTTTCTCCACCCAAAATATCTTTCTTCGGTGGTACCTTGTGTAGCAAGGCGCAGCGCACAGTGCCACATCACAAGTTTTACATCCATATATCACGTCCCTCCTTTTGCCAGACTTGAAACAAACACGGCATCTTCTTTTTTTAGCCAAGTGCACGAGTTCATGCGTCAACTTGTAGTTGAGACGTTGTTCTGAATCTATAATTCTTGTATTTCTTGGATGCACTGGAGGAATATTGTCTTCTACAGGAACCACCAAACTTGTAGTAGAATCTTCTATGAAATCAGAAACATCAAGTGGTTCTATGTCCTCAATGTCCATTTCAGAATTTGTGGTTGATGAGTGGGCTTGAGGGGTTGAGGTGAACAGAGGACGCCTCGCACCAGATGGCCCGGGTGTTGAAACTGCCGCGTCAGCAGGAGGAGCTGCGCTGGCATCTATGTCGGGAACATGTGGTATGCTTGTTGTTGTTGGCCATTCCTCGCTGTTCCACGCCAATAAGGCTGAGTCATAAGGCTAAGGCCAATCTGAGAGTATCCCCATCCATTTCGGTTAAAAAATGGAATTTATAGAAATATTTTTTCGATGGACGAGAAAAGTAGACTGTTATGCGGAATCGTAAGAAAAAACAGTGACGAGTTATCTCTAATCTAAAGCGCGAAAGTGTTAAAGTGGCAGCTGCCTAAAGAACAGCTGCCACTGCCAGAAGAGAATCGAAAGTTGAATCCATCAATGCAGAAGGAACAAACTGCATAGGATACAGGGTTGTAGGTGTCACAAACCCAACAGGCAGCGTGACAGAGGCAGAAAGAGTGATCATCATCAGGTAGCACCCTTCAAACTTGCACATGGTGAGTGAGGGGCTCAATGGGCCAAATCAACCACACCAAAGACCTGCAAAGGGATTTCAGGGACCTGAAGGCAGCTAGTCAAGCAGGGTACCCAGGTACAGAAGCTGCTTGCCAGAAGACATACACCAAGCTCAGCCAAGACAACCAGGCTACAATGGGCATCCATGGTATGTCGTTTAAACAAATATGCAACACCCAGCATACCCCAGCACAACCAACAGAATGCCCCCATCCAAGGGCTCAAACAGATGAGTTGTTGGCCTTAGCCTTACAGGCTATTGTCAATAGGCCTGAGCGAGACTCTTCACCTCGGTTGCCTGGCCTCTCAAGGACTAACTCCCGAACACACCAGAGAAGATACGTCAGTGCAAGGGCAGTTTTATTGGGCACCCTGGGAAGTCGCCTACAGTGCATGGAGCCCAGATCACATCAAAGTCAAGCCCACACAAGAAGTCGGATAGGAAACACTCTGCGAAGCCATAACTAAAAATAGAATAGAGTACAAATGAATGGCTCCTGCAAGAACTAGTCCAAGGACAGCTGCACTTAGCTTGAAACAGAGGTGGTTGCTATGTCTGAAAGACAGGGAACACTAATGTTCAGCTGAAATTGGTGAATGAACTGAACAAGAAATATGGCTGCGTACGGAAGCCGGGCTACCTGATTGTGACTTTCAGTACTAAAAGTTTTGTGATAATTTTTAATGTTTCTCATGTTGTGTGTGATTTGTTGGCAGAGTTGTTTGGCAGTTTTGGGACTTGGGTCTTAGTTACCCTCCAATTGTCTGTAAAACTTCACTGACTTCCTGGATGCTTTAACCAGTGTAGTGGCGAATTGTCACTCATTCTCTGCAACTCTGTAAGGGGAAGGGGGGAGCAGGTTTTGGTTGTGGTCCGAGTAGGCCAAACAGAATTCTCGTCTGATGTGGCACATTAGCATCTCGGCGAGATGGCTTCAGAAAGCCAATGGAAGATCCCACAGAAATACCCACTAATTCTCTATTGCTTGGTGTTAACCCAAGCTGGTTTTAACCTGACGGATGTTGGATAATCTTGGTGCCGGCAATAGCGGTGTAATTTAATTTCTTGTTTTGTACTAGTGAACTTTTAAAATTTGCTATATTTTACTATGCCTCCTCATGTCTAATTTACCAGTCTGTGTGAAATAATTTGTATTCTTTTAATTAATAATTCCCCATTTTCTTCATTTCTCAATGTTTCATGTAAAGTTTACTATACCTCATAAACTGCAGTCTTTGTCAATTTTGGTTGTGTTTTCATGAATTGAAAAGGTGATGAAAAAATTATATACCCTGGTAATAAAATATTTTAATTTAATTAACTATGGTAAAACATTATACAAACAGTAATTAACAATGAAAGACTAAAAATAAATGTTCTCTTTAAATTTGACAGAGTGCAAGAGACCTCGGAGTAAAGATTCACCAGCAACTTATGCAAAAGTTACAGCAAGAAGAAACCATTGTGGATAGGGCAATAAAAGGGTTTCTTTAGCTCTGTATATATTTAACCTACCTAATTTATATATAATTTCATTACATTCAATGCTGTTTTTTTTTTTTTTTTTGTTAAACACTTTATTATACAAGGTTATATTGTTACATATCTGATTGTTTATAAAAAGAGAACATTAAGAGGAAATAAGGTGAAGTTTATTTCCTAGAGGCTGTAGATTTCTTCGAACTCCTCCGACGCCGGGCAGGAACCGAGGATGCAGCATGCATTTCTCCTCTGGATTGCTACACTGAGGCGCTGTAAGAAAAAGAGACTTTCTGTTCTAGGGGTCTCTGGTAGTGTCAATGAGCCTGGAACCAAGAACCAAGCAAGAAACCTTCTTGCACTCTCTCCCCAGGGACCTAGAGTCTCAGACCCTTTTGAAACGAAGTTGTACTGGTGATCTCTTTCCCGGTACTGTACTTGGTTGACTTGTCTCTTTCTGTGTGTGTCGCTGTGGCTCCTGCTTGGCCGACAGAGAGGTCAATATATGTGGTTGCCAGGGTGGATACGCAAGTGTAGTACCATGCCAACTGTCTACCACCCTTCCAAGGGCGTAGTGTGATTCCATCTGGTCAGCCGGCAAAGATAGCAGTTACGGTTCAATAGATTGTGGAGCGCTCTCTCTGCCGGACTCTGGGCAGAAGCGAGGCTCCTTTTAATGATGTCATTGACTTCGTCGTGTCTAGAATGTCAGCTGCCAGATTTTCCACTGTGCAGGCCATGCACTCCATATTCGTCCGCATCTGCCTTGCCGCAAATACACCTATGAACAGTGTGGATAGGGGCAGCAAGGCGAAGAGCGATTCTCTGATTTCACACTCCCTGAGCTGGCCATCATGGAACTATAAAAAGGCATATATCTTCACTTTCACTTCAGTTATATTTATGCTAAAGTATTAACATGCAGCTTATATTTCTGTCTCTATGACATAGAAAACTTCGTTTATTACAGTATCTAGATTAAATTAACATTAATCTTCGAAAGGTCGTAGTTCCCATCAATAGGAAGAGCGTCAGCCAAGAAACCATGTTTAAAATATGAATATCTTTCCTCCCTCTAATAAGGTATAATCTCTGTGATGGATTCACAAAAACTATTTTATCTCTGCCTTTCTGATAGCATTTACACATATAAGCTTTATTTGTGAATAAAGCTTTTTTTGACTAGTGTATGAAAAGAGCTTTAACTGGTCCAAGTCTCGGCATTGTAGCATAAATAGGAAGGGAGAAAAAAATATTTAATGTATCAAAAATTTTCCCAGGTGTTCAAAAATTAACATCAAATGCAAGTGTCAACTGAAATCATGTCTCTGACTCTCAGCTATCACAACAGCATTTAATACAAAATTTTAAGTTTTATCCCAAAAAATTTAGTTTAGAAAGAAAAAAACTAATTTTTTTTATCATTTTTTTATCTGGCAATTTGCATGAAACTTGTACACCTGTCTGCACGTAAGCCTATCTGTAAGGGTGCCAATTTTGGAGGAAATTGATTTATGTCAACCTCAGCTCTGTAGCAGAACCTCTGACTTCATTTCTTTTCAAGTAACATAAAAAGTGACTACTTTCATTTAGTTCTACTTAGGAACTGAATTCCTAAGTTCAGTTATTGATGCAACATGATATATTTGCCTAATTTTGGGGGGAACTTTGACTATTTGTATTAGTAAAACTAAACGTATTTTGGATAATACGGTTGGGCAAATCCTTTATTATATGCTAATGTGATAGTGTCATAGAAATGATTTAATTTGAAACTTGTGGTTGTAGAGTAATTTTGAAAATGTGTAAAAGTCACTGAATTTTTTCTCCCTTTCTATTTAGGCTGCGATACTGAAACTTGGAACAGTTGGAACCCTTTTCATATACAACTAGTCAAAAATGTTTGGTTGATATTGAACAACTTTTATTATCCTAAGTTGCACTACAACATTGTCGCTTGTACTGTCGACTAACTATGGCGTCACCTGCTACATATTTACTTCTAATTTCGTTATGAAATTAGATTATTTCAGAATAAAAATAGATTTGATTACGTTCTGCATTCAGTACCAACATTATAGTGAGTAAATATACAATACTTCATCATTACTTATGTAATGCTAGCAGGATTTGGGTAAATTTGTGTGGATTTGGGTAGATTTGGGTAATTCTGTGGACCAAGTGTTATATAGTCGTAATGGCTTGGCGCTTTCCCCCTAATAGTCCTCTTCCATTCCCTTCTCTGATAAAGAGTGCGTTCTGTTAACAAACACACAAGTGCAAACAATGCCCTAAGCACTGTTAATGGAAGCGCTAATTATATATTCAAGTGCCACGTATTTATTCGTCTTCTTGACTATCAACTATGATTTATTGTCTCGTTTTGATCATACAGTACTAGTAGTGTCTTGGAAGACAAAAACAGCAGCGAACACAAGCCAGCGCACATGCATATACGAAAGGGTTCGTATATACAAACTTGTTTGTGAACGAACTGGGTTGTTTTTTCTGTACTTAACCGACCGTATCTAATTCAATTTCTTTATTATGCACCCCATACCTATCCCGTGGGCGGTGGTGTAAAGGGTTACAGAGGCACATAATCGGTTCAGGAACTGAACCCGTTAGTTCGTTTAGCTAAGCAAATATCAATCTTTTGATGCTTGTTACACAATTATTAATGTTATATATACTTGTACACATACTCATACATACATGTGTGTAAATCAGGAAAATAAACACGTGATTAAAAATATGACAGTGTCAGACCACGGAGGAAAATTGAAAGAGGAATTTCCTTAAGTACTTTCGTATATTAATACATCTTCAGAAAGAGTATATGACTTCTGAAGATGTATTAATATATGAAAGTACTTTAGGAAATTCCTGTTTCAATTTTCCTCCGTGGTCTGACACTCTCTCATACATACATGTATATACATATACATATCCGGAACGGTTATAGACGATTTCATGTCTCCGTATACCTGAGCTTGTTAAAAAAAAAAAAAAAAAAGTGGCTGCAAGAATGTAACACTCATTATCAAATTGATGTACTTTCACAACCAGATGTACCTTCTTGTATATACATAAATAAAACCAGGTAAATCAGGTAAAATAAACAAATAATGTTGGCATATATGAAATCATAAGGTCAAGCTGATATATTGTTAAATATATTGTTTTGTGAGGCAGTGTGTGGTTT